CAGAGACCCACAGAGACCCACAGAGAGCCACAGAGAGCCACAGAGACCCACAGAGACGCACAGAGACCCACAGAGACCCACAGAGAGCCACAGAGACCCACAGAGACCCACAGAGACGCACATAGACGCACAGAGACCCACAGAGACCCACAGAGACCAACAGAGACCCACAGAGACGCACAGAGACCCACAGAGACCCACAGAGACCCACAGAGACGCACAGAGAGCCACAGAGACTCACAGAGACCCACAGAGACCCACAGACTCACAGAAGAGACCCACAGAGACTCACAGAGACCCACAGAGACCCACAGAGACACACAGAGACCCACAGAGAGACACACAGAGACCCACAGAGACCCACAGAGACCCACAGAGAGACACACAGAGACCCACAGAGACCCACAGACTCACAGAAGAGACCCACAGAGACACACAGAAACCCACAGAGACGCACAGAGACCCACAGAGACACACAGAGACCCACAGAGACACACAGAGACGCACAGAGCGAAATAAGTTCAGCATAGCATGAAACGGGCCTTGCAGATTTTGACCAAAATTTCTTCAAGGGCCACACACGGTGGCGCGTTGCATGGTCGAGCGTGTTGAGTTTCGCTTTGTTCTACATTGGAAGGAGGAGGCATGATGTCGCCTGCGTGTCACTTGTACAGGTAGCAACAATGTTCCACACTGCCCACCAGGGATTATTTAGCTGTCTGTCTGTCTGTCGTGCATAAATAAATATAGAATACACACAGCTAATTTGATTGGTGGAGACCTACTGCCGGGTACGGAGAGGGGAGGGGCCTAAGGGAGGAGGGTCAGGGGAGGGGCCTAAGGAAGGGGGGAGTCATGAAAGGGGCCTGAGGGGAGGGGGGGTCAGCGGAGGGGCCTGAGGGGGGGGGGGGTCAGGGGAGGGCCCTGAGGGAGGGGGGGTCAGGGGAGGTGCCTAAGGATATGGGGGGGGGGGTGCTCAGGGAAGGGGCCTAACAGAAGGGGGGTCAGGGGAGGGGCCTGAGGATATGGGGGGGGTGATCAGGGGAGGGGCCTGAGGGGGGGGGGGGGTCAGGGGAGGGGCCTAAGGGAAAGGGGGTCAGGGGAGGGGCCTAAGGGGGCGATAATTCAGGGGGCTGTCTGCCTGGCTACCTAAAGTCAAGTGATCTTGTATACAGGTAGGAACAACAGGTTCCACACTGCCCACCAGGGATTATTTGTCTGTCTGTCGTGCACGAATGCGCTGTCCAACCAAGTTCCTACCTGGCCACTCCGAAGGAACGTGTTTTGTTGCGTCTCTCCCGACAGCGCATTTGTGCAAATTCGCGCGACTCGGGTGAAGCAGCTGGCTCAACCCACTTGGTGCCGCGGCGATTCCTCTCGGTGATTTCCGAAAAGTTTTTCGGTTTGGCCCTGTTTGTGTTGTTGTAGTACAGAGTTAGACTGATGGCCTTAATCTAAGTTGTCTTGTGGTTGTTGCTGTTGTTGTTTGACTTGCATCCCATTGGGATTTTTGCACACAGCGTTGGTGTGTACGGTGCTTTTTTCTGCAATATTTTGCTGTCTTTTCTTGGATTTTCTGTTTGCACTTAGTCACTTTAAGATGTTTTTTGTTCATGTTTTAGTTTTTTGTTTGTTGCGGTTGCACCCGATTCAAGAGCCGAATGGCTCACAGGGCTATACCTAATACATGAACTTTGAACTCTCCCGCAATTTTTAAAGTCGCCAAATCGATTTCATCCCGACGCGGATCTCTTGCGGTTTCCGTCCCCGCTCCGCCCCACGTGTCTTTAGCCGCCGCTGATCCACCACGGGACACGTGGTGCGCTCTGTGCGCTCTGTGCTCTATGCGTGGCGGGCAGAGAGTCGCCTCCACGCTGTGTCCGGCCACCACACTAGAGGCCACACCAGACGCAAGATGCCCTCCCACGTCTCTCCTGTGGCTGTTGGGGCGAGTGCTGTTAGCGGGCCCCTCCTGAAGGCTGGCTCGTTCACTCGGTTACATAACCGCTCGCACACCCAACCACTCACTCGCTCGCACATCCAACCACTCACTCGCTCACACACCCAAACACTCACTCGCTCACACACCCAACCACTCACTCGCTCACACACCCAACCACTCACTCGCTCACACACCCAACCACTCACTCGCTCACACACCCAACCACTCACTCGCTCACACACCCAACCACTCACTCGCTCACACACCCAACCACTCACTCGTTCACACACCCAACCACTCACTCGCTCACACACCCAACCACTCACTCGCTCACACACCCAACCACTCACTCGCTCACACACCCAAACACTCACTCGCTTACACACCCAAATACTCACCCACACACCCAAACACTCGCCCACCAAACCGCTCGCTCACTCGCTCAAACGTGCACCCACTCAGCCACTCGTTTATCTATCCACACAACCACCCATCCACTCACTCGCCCAAAACACTCACCCACCAAACCGCTCACTCACTCAAACGCGCACCAACTCGTCCACCCAAACATTCACTCGCCCAAGAACTCACCCAAACACTCACCCATTCACCAACCCAAATGCTCACCCCCATCTACTCACCCAGCCACAACTCACTCATTCACTCACGCACTCACCCTCTCGCCCATTGAGTCACCCACCCGCTCGCTCACTCACCCAACCACTCACTCATCGCCCCCCTAACCGCTGACACACTCACACACCCGCCCCCTCCCCCTACTGGAAGGGGGCAGGGTAAAACCGAGTGCCACGTGCTTCTCTCTCTGCCGCCAAAACTATATTTCACGCTGCGGTGCAGAATGTGAACATTCTGTGACGATGGTGACGACGACGACGACGATGATGATGATGGTGGTCGTGGTGTCGGTGAATGCGTGGGGAGCGGTTAGCGCTGCGCTACGAACCCGGCGACCCGAGTTCGATTCCCGCTCACGGCCACCAACACCCAGTGACGATTATCTGAACCGGTCCTGGGCCTCCCCTAGGTCGACTCAGCCTCAAATGAGTACTGGGTGCGGTGTGTCGTAAACATCACCACTGGGGAGACAAAGGCGGCCGGGCGTGGTGCTGGCACCCACCCCCTCGTATGCCGTGCCGGCCTTCATAGCTGCTGCTACTCGTTAATGGCACTTACCCCGACAGTCTGTTCAGGTTGTTGGGGCAAGTGCCGTTACTCAAATTGTTAATGTTGTGGATTTACTCTCCAACACCCCCTGGTGTGGTAACTGATTGACGCGTTTATTGCGCCTTTTGGCGTCATCTGGTCCAACACCAATGGAGACTAGGCTCTAAGAAAAGCTGTCTCGGGTGTGGACCAATCAACTTCAAGGACAGTGCATATCATTATCATCATCAGAGTTGTTTCTTTTTGTTTGCATTTTGACTGCTTGTGTTGTGGTTATTGCAAACATGATGCCTTGTATAAAGGTGTCAGTTTTTGTACCAGTTGAAAGGGTAAAAACTTATCACTATATTTTGCCACTGGTAAAGGAGATGTCTCATAGTGATTGACGCGTTGTTTACGTGACAAATCCCTTGCTGGCTGTGTCGGGTGGCGGAGGGAGGGTTACGACACATTCATATTGACGCGATCAAACCCAAAAACCTTTACGAGTGGTGATGGTGTTCACTGTGAATGCTGATGTGCTCATGGTATTGTGGTGGTGGAGATGGTGATGTTAGAGGTGGTGGTTGGTGATGGTAGAGGTGTAGGTGCAGATGATGATGATTTTTTGCGGTGATGATGGTGGTGTGATGATGATGGTGGTGTGTGTAGTTGGTGATGATGGTGGTGGTGTGTGATGATGGTGGTGTGTGTGTGTAGTTGGTGATGGTGGTGGTGTGTGATGATGATGGTGGTGGTGTGTGTGTGTGTGTAGTTGGTGATGATGGTGGTGTGTGATGATGGTGGTGGTGGTGTGTGTGTGTGTAGTTGGTGATGATGGTGGTGGTGTGTAATGGTGGTGGTGTGTGTGTGTAGTTGGTGATGATGGTGGTGTGTGTGTGTGTAGTTGGTGGTGGTGTGTGATGATGGTGGTGTGTGTGTGTAGTCGGTGATGATGGTGGTGTGTGATGATGGTGGTGGTGGTGTGTGTGTGTAGTTGGTGATGGTGGTGGTGTGTGATGATGGTGGTGGTGTGTGTGTGTGTAGTCAGTGATGATGGTGGTGTGTGATGATGGTGGTGGTGTGTGTGTGTGTAGTCGGTGATGATGGTGGTGTGTGATGATGGTGGTGTGTGTGTGTGTAGTTGGTGATGGTGGTGGTGGTGGAGGTCACGGTGTTTTTGTTGGCAATGGCAGTTGTGTCGGCGGTGGTGATGGCAGCGGTGGTGGTGGTGGTGATGGCAGCGGTGGTGGTGGTGGTGATGGCAGCGGTGGTGGTGGTGGTGGTGATGGCAGCGGTGGTGGTGGTGATGGCAGCGGTGGTGGTGGTGGTGATGGGAGTGAAATTAATCGTGATGGCAAGTGCTGATGGTGACATTGTTACTGCTGCTGCTTCTACTGCTGCTGTTACTGCTGTTACTGCTGCTGTTGCTGCTGCTGCTGTTACTGTTGCTGCTGTTACTGCTGCTGTGTCTACTGCTGCTACTTTTACTGCTGTTACTGCTGCTGTTACTTCTGCTGCTACTTTTGCTGCTGCTACTTCTACTTGCTGCTGTTACTGCTGCGGCGTCTACTGCTGCTACTTCTACTGCTGCTGTTACTGCTGCTGCTGCTTCTACTGCTGCTGTTACTGCTGCTGTGTCTACTGCTGCTACTTCTACTGCTGCTGCGTCTACTGCTGCTACTTCTGCTGCTGCTACTTCTGCTGCTGCTGTTACTGCTACTTTGACTGCTGCTACTTCTACTGCTGCTGTTACTGCTGCTACTTCTACTGTTGCTGCTTCTGCTGACGCAGCGCGGTATCACGCCAGCCCCGGTCTCCAGCAGCAGCAGCAGCAGTAGAAGTAGCAGCAGCAGTTGTGAACTTTCCGTGTGAAATTTCATGCCTCCGCTAGAAAGCCGACGCACGCACGGACTGACGCACGCCGGAGCGCCGCAGATCGCCGGGAAGCACCGGGGGAGTGAACCGCGACATCCCCCCCCCCCCTCTCGCTTGGCCACCCATTGCCAGCTCGTCCACTCAACGTCCGCCCAACGTCCGCCCAACGTCCGCGCAACGTCCGCGCGCTGCGCCGGCGTCACCGAGGCCGCCGCCCGCGTGAGATGCGCCGCGCCGTCCGGCAGCATCCCAACGAGTTCCCGTCGGATCGCCGCTTCTGATCGCTGATCGTCGGGCGAGCGAGCGGAGCGGACGAAGAGAGCGTGGAGAGCGAGGGGGCGAGGATTGGCAGCCACCCACCGCCACCACCACCACCCCCCCCCCCACCCCCGAGGCGAGCGCGGAGTCTGACTTCCACCCCCGTCTTCCTCCTCCTCCTCACTCCGGAGGTACGTACCTACGGCGGATCGATTGAGGGTTTATCGGCGGCACCACCACCACCGCCACCACCGCCGCCACGACCACCACCGCCACCACCACCACCAGCACCACCGCCACCGCCACCACCACCAGCACCACCAGCGCCACCACCACCGCCACCACCACCACCGCCGCCGCCGCCACCACCAGCACCACCACCACCAGCGCCGCCACCGCCACCGCCGCCACCGCCGGCATCATCGTCATCAGCACCAGCATCATCATCAGCAGCATCAACAGCAGCAGGAACATCATAAGCAGCATCAATAGCAGCAGCATCATCATAAGCAGCATCATCAACCGCGGCAGCACTGGCATCATCATCGGCAGCAACATCATCATCATCGGCAGCAACATCATCATCGGCAGTATCAGCAGCAGGACCATCAACAGCAGCAGCATCAGCATGAACATCATCAGCAGCAGCATCAACAGCATCAGCATCACCATCAGCAGCAGCATCAACAGCAGCAGTATCATCATAGGCAGCAGCATCAACAGCAGCAGCACTGGCATCATCATCGGCAGCAACATCATCATCAGCAGTATCACCAGCAGTATCATCATAAGCAGCAGCATCAACAGCAGCAGTATCATCATAAGCAGCATCATCAACCGCAGCAGCACTGGCATCATCATCGGCAGCAACATCATCATCGGCAGCAACATCATCATCAGCATGAAACCCACACAGCCGTCCGTGATGTTTTCTGGAATTTCGCAGGGTACCGCGACCACCACCACCGCTCGGCAGCACAGGGGCGGCTCTGTGCGTGCTGGGGAACGTAGATTAATGTTGGGTCCAGGTGGCTGTCCAGTGGTCAAGTTGGCATCTCGCCATCGGAAGAGTTGCAGGTTCAAATCCCAGCCACGGTAGCCAGATGTTAACTACCTGACACAGTATGCAGGAGGTCGTGGGTTCGATCCCGACCCTGGTGCCAGCTGTATATTTGGAGTTTGCGTGTCTCTCTCTCGTCATCACCACGGTGGCTAGGAGATGTTGACTAGCTCGCCTGGTATGCAGGAGGTCGTGGGTTCGATCCCGACCCTGACGCCTGCTGCTGTATATTTGGAGTTTGTGTGTTTCTCTCTCTCATCATCATAATCACGGTGGCGAGGAGATGTTGACTACCTCGCCCGGTATGCAGGAGGTCGTGGGTTCGATCCCGACCCTGGTGCCAGCTGTATATTTGGAGTTTGCGTGTCTCTCTCTCATCATCATCACGGTGGCTAGGAGATGTTGACTACCTCGCCTGGTATACAGGAGGTCGTGGGGTTGATCCCGACCCTGACGCCTGCTGCTGTATATTTGGAGTTTTTGTGTCTCTCTCATCATCACCATGGAGGCTAGAAGATGTTAACTACCTCGCACGGTATGCAGGAGGTCGTGGGTTCGATCCCGACCCTGGTGCCAGCTGTATATTTGGAGTTTGCGTGTCTCTCTCTCATCATCATCACGGTGGCTAGGAGATGTTGACTACCTCGCCTGGTATACAGGAGGTCGTGGGGTTGATCCCGACCCTGACGCCTGCTGCTGTATATTTGGAGTTTTTGTGTCTCTCTCTCTCATCATCACCATGGAGGCTAGAAGATGTTAACTACCTCGCACGGTATGCAGGAGGTCGTGGGTTCGATCCCGATCCTGACGCCTGCTGCTGTATATTTGGAGTTTGGGTGTCTCTCTCATCATCATCACCACGGTGGCTAGGAGATGTTAACTACCTCGCCTGGTATACAGGATGTCGTGGGTTCGATCCCGACCCTGACGCCTGCTGTATATTTGGAGTTTGTGTGTCTCTCTCATCATCACCACGGCGGCTAGGAGATGTTAACTACCTCGCCAGGTATACAGGAGGTCGTGGGTTCTATCCCGACCCTGACGCCAGCTGTATATTTGGAGTTTGCGTGTCTCTCTCTCTGTCATCATCACGGTGGCTTGGAGATGTTAACTCCCTCGCCCGGTATGCAGGAGGTCGTGGGTTCGATCCCAACTCTGGTGCCTGCTGTATATTTGGAGTTTGCGTGTCTCTCTCTCATCACCATCACGGTGGCTAGGAGATGTTAACTACCTCGCCTGGTATACAGGATGTCGTGGGTTCGATCCCGACCCTGACGCCTGCTGTATATTTGGAGTTTGTGTGTCTCTCATCATCACCACGGCGGCTAGGAGATGTTAACTACCTCGCCAGGTATACAGGAGGTCGTGGGTTCTATCCCGACCCTGACGCCAGCTGTATATTTGGAGTTTGCGTGTCTCTCTCTCTGTCATCATCACGGTGGCTTGGAGATGTTAACTCCCTCGCCCGGTATGCAGGAGGTCGTGGGTTCGATCCCAACTCTGGTGCCTGCTGTATATTTGGAGTTTGCGTGTCTCTCTCTCATCACCATCACGGTGGCTATGAAATGTTAACTACCTCGCCTGGTATACAGGAGGTCGTGGGTTTGATCCCGACCCTGGTGCCAGCTGTATATTTGGAGTTTGTGTGTCTCTCTCATCATCATCACGCTGGCTAGGAGATGTTAACTACCTCGCCTGGTATACAGGAGGTCGTGGGTTTGATGCCGACCCTGATGCCTGCTGTATATTTGGAGTTTGCGTGTCTCTCTCTCATCATCATCACCACGGTGGCTAGGAGATGTTAACTACCTCGCCTGGTGTACAGGAGGTCGTGGGTTCGATCGCGACCCTGTTGCCAGCTGTATATTTGGAGTTTGCGTGTCTCTCTCTCATCATCATCACCACGGTGGCTAAGAGATGTTAACTACCTCGCCTGGTGTACAGGAGGTCGTGGGTTCGATCGCGACCCTGTTGCCAGCTGTATATTTGGAGTTTGCGGTGTTTCCCTCTCTCTCTCCCAGTGGTCGCGTGGATTTTTCTCCGGGTCCTCCGATTTCTTCCCTCCGTATTTAGAATCAGCGTCACCACGGCGTGTTACAGAACGCTTGGCTGCCGCTATAAATTTCCACACGACGACGATGACGATGTCGCTTCGTTGAGGCACGATTCGCGATCGCCAGTTCGCTCTTGAAGAAGAGTTGCGTCGATCAATCGGGGGTGGACTAACCTGGTCAAATATAACGTTCAGTAGTTGAGTTAAGTGTATTAGGACACGATAATTGTTTTTTTACCCTTCTATCTGGCAACAAAACTGACACCTTTTTTACAAGGAGTCGTGTTTGCATAGACCACAATACCTGCAGTCATAATGCAAACAAAAAACACACAACTCTGATAATGATATGCACTGTCCTTGAAATTGATTGGTCCACACCCGAGACAGCTTTTCTTAGAGCCCAGTCTCACATGGTGTTGGACCAGATGACGCCAAAAGGCGCACAACTCAAAGACAATGCACCATCAGAGTATGAGAGCTCGGGGTGAAGCATTTACACCATTGGAACCTCATTTGCCAGTAAAAAATATGATAATTGTTTTTTTACCCTTCTATCTGGCAACAAAACTGACACCTTTTTTTACAAACGAGTCATGTTTGCATAGACCACAATACCTGCGGTCATAATGCAAACAAAAAACACACAACTCTGATAATGATATGCACTGACCTTGAAGTTGATTGGTCCACACCCGAGACAGCTTTTCTTAGAGCCTAGTCTCACATGGGTTGGACCAGATGACGCCAAAAGGCGCACGATATTGTGGTCTATGTAAACATGACTCCTTGTAAAAAAAAGTGTCAGTTTTGTTGCCAGATAGAAGGGTAAAAAAACAATTATCATATTTTTTACTAGCAAATGAGGTTCCAATGGTGTGTTAGGACAATAAAGCAGAGATGATAGGTCCTGTTGCAATTCTATACAAGTCTGCTGTATCAGACGGGTAGAGAACGTGGGAGACTCAGAATATCCCTTCCCACTTCTTCAGCAGACCTGGTTAAAATAAAACGTTTATTTTTAAATCCTTTATATTAAGTTCACTTGCTTGCTTACGACCGTGCAAATCTTTCGGTCGTTTTTTAACCCACTTTCCGTGATCCAATCGAGCTGACATTTTGCACACAGACTCGTTGTGCGAGACAATTTATGTTCGTGAAAATTTTTTTCCAAAATTTTACACTGTTTAGGGAAAACAAATTAAATATTTAATTACCAATTGTTTAATACTGGCAGACAATCATCTGACCCATAGGTGGCAGCCATCTCAAGCCAGAGGACGAGAGGACTCTAGCCGCCACGCATATAAAGGATTTATAGTGAAAAACTTTGTTTTTACGGGTTATACTTGTAGTTTCTAGTGCAGGCAGTCCTTGACTTGCGAACACGCGATGACTTGCGAGAACCAGCTTCCGTGAAACATTATCGTTTTGAATATCGACTTAAAACACGGCACTATTTTTGTTCAGCTGAGCGATCCCTCCGCGAGACGTAAAGAGTGAGTCTCATGCTGCGAGTGAGTGTCTATGTGTGTGTGTCTGCGGGTGTGTGTCTGTGTGTGTGTGTCTGTGTGTTTGTGTGTGTGTGTTTGTGTGTGTGTCTGTGTGTGTGTGTCTGTATGTGTGTGTCTGCGGGTGGCTAAAGCACAGCAAGTTGGTACAGTAGGGGGTACAGGTGGTGCATCAGCCAGTCATCTCGGTCATCTCGGTCAGTCGACCCGTGGCACCTGCTGGGTCTGCCCCGTGACCTCCTGCCAGCGGGCGTTCGACACTTCACGTGGCCTCAAGGTGCACATGGCCTGGCACAAGCGTCGTGGTGACGTCACCGCCACTTAGTGGAGAATGGCGGTTGTTGTTGTTGTTGTCTATGTGCGCGTGTGTCTGTTTATGTGTGTCTGCAAGTGAGTCTGCGTGTGTCTGCGAGTGAGTGTCTTTGTGCACGCTGTGCGGTGTGTGTGTGTGTTGTGTGTCCGTGAGCAGTGTAGTGCACCTGGCCTGGCACAGGTGCTGTGGTGACGTCACCGTCACTAAGTGGCACGTGGCGGGTGTTGGCGTTGGGCAGTGTAGCGGTTAGCGCG